CTCTGAGAAAAAACAAACAAACTTTCTCACTGAAAGTTTTCTCCATTTCTATTTTATATATATTCTAATGACAACCCCCACATCTGGCACAGTGTCCTATATTGAGGGAGAGGGCAAGACAAATAGCTTTAACTCAACTACTAACTACTTTCATAACCATTTTTTTTTATTCATCTCAACTAGTGCAGCACAATCCCATTCAGTATGAGAAATCTGATAAAATCACAGCCCTGAGACAAACTCCTCAAGTTATTAATTCATCAATTTTTCTCTACATTTCAAGCTGTATTATATAGAGTAACATACAGTTGGTTACATTTATCAAAATGTACTTGATAAGCATATCAATTACTTTTCTAACTACTTACAGGCGCTGTATCAAAGACACTTAAGCACATTTAACTGTGAGAAGTGTAATACTTACCTGGGGATACAATCTAAATAAAATCTAAACATTTTTCTAGTACTTGAAGAACATTCAGTATCAGGTTTTTACACTGCATGACATCCTCCTTCTCCCTCTTTTCTCCTGTGGAAATCTTTCATGGTCTTGAAGAGTACCTTTATTTCATGTTTGCTTTTTTAACTTTACTGTTCTTAAGAACCCGTGTTATAAATAACTTTCTATCAAAAGCCTGGGCAGGATTTACCTCTGACCCAATTAGCATTACTACAATATTATCCGAAAGGTGGCTGAAGACTGGAGAGAAGGACTGGATTACTTTCCCACAGGGCTTGTGCCACCAGGATTAGGGTTGAAAAGCAAGTCTGCTCCTGGCACTGCTGTATAAGGTACTAGACACTGTATCAGACCCGCCACAATACTCTATTAGTTAAGCATGTAGTGATACCACTTTAAAAATGTACAGACCCACAACTTGCATGTTGAAAGACCCATGAATCACAACAGCTTGAGCTTAGCATCTCTGATTCTGACAGATGACTAAATCGCTGTGGCTGTTTAGTTTTTTATTACAAAAGTTCATCTGAATATTCTGTATTTAAATAGGAGTTAGTATTTGAAAATAAGCATCAATGCAAAACTTGTTTCTTAGGAGTGAATCCAAGACAATGGCTGGGATTTTCTGGCTACCTGCAAAACCCTACACTTGTTCTTAAAAGACCATACCGCTTTTTAACAGGCACTACTATAAAAAAGCATTTATAAACTTTTAAGACAACTTCTTTAGTTTTAAAACTAATTTGGGAATTTGGCTTTCTATGGAATGGATATTGTTCCATTTTGAGTATCCTGGGAGACAGGGGCATAGGTGGAGTGAAAAGGTGTTTGCAGCTTTCCATACCCTAGGCCGCTGGCACAATGGATGTAAGTGACTGTCACAAGATCTTGGTGGTCATCTGAGATGGTATTGATAATAGGAAGAATGGCCCTCAGGCAGGAGAACTTCCACCAGCCTCCTCCACTTGGAGGGTAAGGTTTTGGGCCACCTACCAAAGAAGGTCTTGATGGGCATGAGAGGCTTCCTCCACCACTCACCGGCTCCAGAGACTTAACTGCTCTGCTCTGCTCTAGGCATCATGTGGGAGGCCTCTGGAGCCTTACTAGGGCTCCTGGAGGGAGAGTGTCCTCGGTTGTTCTTTTCCCTTCTTCTTAGGCATTGGCGAATGGAGTGGTGCCATGCCAAATAGTTCGCATTACATGCGTGGGATTGGTGCCAACAGTCCTGGTGCACCTCCTGTCTCTGTGCCAAAGTGTCCTGTGCTGAGACTGGCACACTATGCACCAAGGGAGTTGAATCTGTGTCATGGAGCTGAAGTGCTGACTCCATTAGCAGTGACTTAACTCTCTGGTCTCTCTCTTTTAGTAAGGAGCTTGAAACCCCTGCAGATGCTACACACTTGTCTTGAAGATGGCCTGCTCCAAGATACTGCAAATGGTCAACATGTGGATCACCTGTAGGCGTATGTGCCCTACTCTTTACACATTGCTTAAACCCTGGGGGCTGCTGCATGCCCCACAAGCTTTGCAAATAGCGGAAGGGAAGGGGGAAAGGAGGGAAGGGCGAGACACTACCTACCTAACTGAGAACAATCTTATCTACACAACAAAGAACTCTGCCTACGCGCTAGGGAAGAACTACTTGCTAAGCAAGGAGTCTGAAGCTCCAACAACCGTGACTGGTGGAAAGAAGTAACTGAAGCAGGAGTTGGGGCAGCAGGGATCTATATAAGAAACCATGAAGCATCACCATAGGGTGGCACTACAGCTGACTCGACGGGTACAGCTAGGGGGAAAGTCTTCCGATGACTGTGCATGCAGTGTGTGCACACATATTGGAATGCACATGAGCAATTACTTAAAGAAGAAATATTTTTTAAAAACAATGGCCGACATGGAATGCTCAGTGTTAAGAATGAACATAAGTCTTTGCAGGATTGGGTCTTATTGAGCAGTAAGTTAAAAAGCAGTACTTTACCACATGACAATACCGATGACCATATTTCCCTATACCCAATACGGGACACCAAGGGGAGGGGGTACTGGTGCTCAGGGTTTTAGCCCAAAATGGGGAGGGGGGCAGGGGGATGCTGACACTCAGGGCTTCAGCCCCACAGCATGGGGTAGGGGGAGCTGCCAGTGCTCAGGGCTTCAGCCCTGCAGCGGGGAGGGAGGGGTGGAAATGGTATGAGGGTGGGGACTGAACCCTGCAGTGGGTGGAGGAGGCCCAAGAGCCAGGCTGAACTTGGTAGCAGCAAAAGGCTTCAGACCCACAGCAAGGGCTGCAGCCAGTGGTGGGGATACCAGAGAAGGGGGTTTCAGCCCAGGGGCTGGGAGGGGCACCAGCAGTTGTGGCTTCAGCCCCATGTTGCTGAAAGTCTGGCAGACTTCCCTCCCCTTAAATGCACACAGGGAGGGAAGCTACTACCTGGTTTCTCCATTGGCAACCTGCCTGACTCCACATACTACGTGCTGGTGCCTGCTTTACTGCCAGCCACAAATAGGAGGCTGCTGCAGCTGTGCTGACCAGGGAACGCAAGGACCAGCAAGGGGCATGCAAATACGGGACATTTTGCCCCCGTTAAAAAAAAAAAAAAAAGTCAGGACACCCGGGAGACAGCTTAAATATGGGGCAGAAACGGGACAGATAGTCACTCTAGTTTTGACTCATCTTTGTTAGCTTAGTGTTTTGGCCTCTGTTAAAAATTACTGACTCTGGTATCACCTTGTTCAGACAATGAAGCTTATAAGCCTAAAGTTTACCACTTAAGTACACATTAACTTAAGATATGTGACCCTCCTAACTACAGCATATGTCCTTACCCTCAGTGCATTAGACTGCAATGCTGTAGCAACTAAAATATATTTTCTTACTAGTATTACTAGCAGCACGCTGTAAATAGGCTTTACAATCTGCATTTGTTTTGTTGTTATTTCTACTTACATTGCTCCCACACAGAGTTAATAATTAATATATTTTCAGATATTTTGTTCTCTCATTCCACCATTACCTAACAAATATCAGCAAGCATGGCAGTGCGTCAATTCTCTCTCTCTCTATAAAAAAATAGTGATAGAGATGCAGCCATGTTAGTCTGGTCTAGCTGAAACAAAAGACAGGACTATGCATCACTTTAAAGACTAACCAGGTAGTTTATTAGGTGATGAGTTTTCGTGGGCCAGACCCACTTTCTCAGCTCAATATGTGGAAGAAAATTGGCACGACCATACATACCAAAGCGATAAAATAAAAAAAGTGAACACATAAAATTGATGAAACGGATTTAAGAACAGAGGAGGGATGGGGCGGGGGGGGAAGGTTAGTATCTGTGAGGTAATGACATTAGGGGTGAAAATTGGGGAAGCTAACTTTGTAATGGGTGAGATAATTAGCATCTTTGTTAAGACCCATACGTAAAGTGTCACATTTAAGCATGAATGACAGTTCTGAGGCTTCTCTTTGAAGTCTGGAGTT